CCGCCTGCAAACTTTGCCTTTGCAAAGCCCTGGAAGCTCCGGAAACCCGAGCAACTTCCCAGCAACTTTCGACTTCCTTTTAACTCACGGGCGCTCGCGCCTGGCCCCAAGCCGCGCGGTGGAGGGGAAGCCCGGCGGGCGGGCGGGCGGACTGCTTGGAGGAGGCTCCGGGCTTCCCCTCCGCCAGGCACGAGCGCCTGCGAGTTAAAAGGAAGCCGAAAGTTGCTGGGAAGTTGCTTGGGCTTCTGGGGCTTCCAGGCTTAAACTTTGAAAAGGCAAAGTTTGCAGGCTGGAGCGTCTTCCCGCCGAGGAGCAGGAAGGGTTCCGCCTGGCGGGCAGGCGGGCTGCTTAAACTTTGCTCGGGCGGCACTTTAAAAGCCTGCTCCCAGCACCCGAGCAACTTCCCAGCAACTTTCGGCTTCCTTTTAACTCACGGGCGCTCGCGCCTGGCCCCGAGCTGCGTGGCAGAGGGGAAGCCCGGCGGGCGGGCGGGCTGCTTGGAGGAGGCGACCCGGTGGTGCTCCGGCAGCAGCAACAGGCAGTTTCGCCCGGGCTCCGCTCAGGTGTCCGGCTGGGGCTGTCAGGAGTTGCTACCGCCGGCGCAGCTCCGTGCGGCTCCAGTCCCGCGTTGCCTTGGGAAGGAAAAGGCAAAACCAGGAGCCGCTGAGCCTGAGCCTCCGGTGCCGCTGCTCCCGTTGCAAAGCACCGCCGCGGCTCTTCCTTTTTGCCTTTCCCTTCCCGAGGCAACAACTCCTGACTCAGGCGGCCTCCGAGGGGAGGGGAAGGAGGAGAAGGGGGGGCGATTCCCAAAAAATCCTGTACTGACCCGGCCCGTCTGTCAAATTTTAAAAGTCAATGCGGCCCCCGAGCCAAAAAGTTTGCCCACCCCTGTCATAGTGGGTGTTTCATTTGATTTTTTTTTACCTCCCAGTTTAGTCTTGAATTCCTTGAATTCCTTTTTTTTCAACAACTAACCAGGCCTGTTCCTCTTTAGCTGTTGGAGATCTGCTAAGTGCTGCTACATAGTTGGGTAGAGCAATGTCTCCCAATCTTGTCCTTTTAAGATACATGGACTTCAACTCCTAAAATTCCCCAACCAGCAAAGCTTTTTAAAGTTGCCAAGGCTGAGAAACACCAGGCTAGAGAGAAATAAATTCCTTGACTGTTACCTTTGCAAATCATATTTTATATCATTCTACTTAAAGTATAACCACCAACTCCAATAGTTGGCCCGAATGTTCCAATTCGTAACAGAATGGGTGTGGATCACTGAAGATTAAATTTTGTATTGGTTTCCCATTTTGCAATATTTTCAATTACTTAATCTCACAAGCTCAAGCTTCCACTTGGTTTTAGAGCTTCCAAAAATAGCAATACCTACCTTTGATTTTTTTTATTAGATTAGACAACTTTAAATGATTTGTTATAACTTGTCTTAAAGCTCTTCTAATCATGGCTTTTATCTCACTGCTCTAGCTGGTATGATAACTTACCATGTAAGTAGAAAAAGAAGTGTTTTTGATTTGCTGTCCTGTTTGAGTTTTAATCTTCTTTTTTTAAATTTGTTTGTTGTCATTTTTCTGGAACACTTTTTAAAAACCAAGCTTTAAAACAAAGACAAGTAAATTGACATACATAAATTTTGAACAATCGCACTTAGGGCGATGTAGTACTTTGGATTTAAATTTGAAAAGTTGTTTCCAAGTATGCTGGCATATATATGTTTCATTCACCAGATCCTCATTAAATTAATGATACTTTATCAGCATCATGCAGTAATTATGAAAAAAACATGGCTGCTTTCAAAACACACTAAAAGATACATTCCAAAATACAATACATGCCCAACAGTCATATCTGAAGCATTACAAAGCCTTTAAAGCAGAAGTTGGTTTTAAAACAACAATCTTGGCTACAGGGATGATTTGGCAAAAGAAACTCCTCCCTCAAATCTAGTTTACTTCCTAGAACATTTGCAGATGCAAAGAACCAGGATAACGCAGGTAGTTAATAGCAATAACAATCAAATTTAGACTTATATAGCAATAGCACTTAGACTTATATACCACTTTATAATGCTTTACAGACCTCTTTTTTTTTTAAACAAATTTTATTAATTTTTAAAAGCATACAAAACATACAAGATAAACATAAAACCTTTTTTCTAAAAATTTCTAAAAATTATTTGAAAGTTTTACAACATTAACACATTTCCTTACAATCACATATTTTCCCTTTCTAACTTGCTTTATTTTCTTCTATCTTTCTCTCCATTGTCCTTTTCTAACCTTTCTCCAAGGTTTTATTAACTCATTCAAACATAAACACATAAGAACACAAAACATATAAACATAAAAAAAAACATCTTTTCTGAAAGTTGCTTAATCCCGGGTCAAGACTCTTTGTACAGACACCAACTCAAATTCATATTCATTTTATATGCCATTCCATATCAATATTACCATTTTCAATTTTTTATATAGCTTCTTCTCTCTTAGATTCTCTTAATTTTATTTTATTTATCTCATCTCAATTCAAATCATAATATTTATTATTCTTTGTCTGTTTATTTCCAGCTATCGATTTATCTTTCTTCTTTAAAAAAAAAAAGCTTCTCCTAATTGGAGTATGACGCCTTTACCTCTTTCCCCTACATTTATAATACTTAATATAAAATACCTAACTTACATTGGGATTTTATTTGGTACATTCTAAAATTATACAATATTATCAATACCAATACTAATCTATTCATTAATATTCATATTATTTTATATCATAAACACTTAGCACATTACTTTTCAATTAATTAACATACTTTTGTGGGAGCACCTACTTTCCATAATTATTCCCCCCCCACGTCACATATTTTAAATCATTATTTCATTAAGGTATTCCTGCTTCTCCTACTTCAAATCTCTCCTTTCAAAAAAAAAAAATTTCCACTGAAATAACACAATCTAATTAATATTGACATTCATTTATATCTTTCTCTCCAACTCCTTTATATCTTAACCATTTTATCCATTTCAATTAAATAACATGCCTTTTGGGAATACTTATATTTTCCACAATTATTTCCACCACCCCCCACATCATATCTCAAATCCTTATTTCATAAAATGTTCCCCTTTTCTTAAGACAAGTTTCACTAAGTTATATTAAACATTTTATCACACTTTAAATTGCACATTATTTCCAACTTTCTAAAGTTATTTCTAAATACAAATATAAAAAACAATCTTATGTACCTCTAGAATCCCTTTATCAATAAAGCTTACCCATTATCT